ATTAAAATGCTAAGCGTAACAATTAAAGTTAATACTGTGTGTTAATCTTTAAGTGGGCTATAAATACTCTTCTTAAGGGCACACAACCCTAGAAAACTGATTCCTACGTGAGTGCATTGGAGGCTGGTCAGCTGGTGCTCTCTCCTTGAGTTCTCTTCTCCATTGTGAGCCAAGTTGTCATCTTTTGCTTGGTTTCTTCACCTCCAAACACTTGAGCCTTGTGTGAGTGGCCTTTGTGAGTGTGTAGAGAGTTTTGGTTCTGAGTTGAGGGACTGTTTGAAGTCAGTTTGTGGGCTGAGTGGCCTTGTGTGAGGGTAAGAGCTTCCTACTTGGCTTGTGAAGCTTCAAGAAGCTTCTTTGTGAAGAAAGGACCAACCTTTGTGTTGCATTTTCGTACACCTTATTTCCAGAACCTGTAGAGGCAGTGTGGTGAGCTCCAAGAGCCAATGATCCTCTGTTTTGAGCTTTGGTGAGTTGTACCTACCTTGAGCTTGTGTTTTAATGGGTTAAAGGTGTGATCTTTGCATGTTTAAAGGGTTAATCAAGTAACCAACTGCGGTGTGGACCTTAATCAGTATAAAGATGCATGCTTTAACGTAATTAAGTGTTAAAAATGGAACCTTGGAAGGATATCTTCACGAAATGCATTTTCTGCATTCTGTCGTGAAATATCCGGATATGTGCCCGTGAAATATCCGGATATTAGATATCCGGATATGGGTTTTGGGTATCCGGATATTAGAAATCCGAATATGGGATTCTGGATATCCGGATATTGCATATCCGGATATGTCCAGTGAGATATCCGGATATTGCATATCCGGATATGATCCCGAGGAATATCCGGATATTCTGGAATTTCGTAGAACAGTGGTTGTGCTGTGTGTACAGTAGGCTATTGGGGTTTGTGGACCCTAGATTGATGAAGTTGAACTTCTGTAATTAATGAACTAAGTCAGAATCGTATGATTAAGGGCTTATGGCTTGGTATGGAGCCTTAAGACGTAAAACGTAAGGAAAGGCGTTGTCTTTAAGTTATATGCTTGTGTTGCATTATTATTGATATAGTATTGGTCCATAACAGATTGTGAATCTGCTGTGTTTGGACTTTGAGCTGTGGACTCTTGGCCTTGGGTGTTAGCTTGCAAGGTAAGCTTTCGTGTCCTCGGTTTAGCCATGTTGTGGTTCCACCATGTCCCATGGGGGTATGGTTATATGCATGCTGTGTTACATGCTTTGGATATTTGAAATGTTGTTGAGCTTTATGTGTAATGGCTTTTAATATGCATGTGTTGTTTCATCTTGACGGTAAACCTGAGTATGTGGCGTCATACGAGATGGTGATCCGGGGTGAATGCAAGTAGCGTCTTGCACTATTTGTGGGTATTAGACGTATATAAATCCTGCATTTCTCTGGCCAGTAGAATAGAATTGACACACATGACATGATTATCTGCATCATTGCACTATTTTAGAACTGATGATGATGAACTGCTTTTGAACTTATATTGCACATGTAAGTGAGCTTGGGGTGGAAGATCCTTGAGGACCCCTTGTCTTACTGAGATTTCTTATTTAGAGATCTCACCCCACGTTTGGGGAATGCTTATTTCAGGTTCCGGTAGTATGGTGACTGATGCCTCTGGCGGCAGGAGGCCAGAGCTTAGTTGATGATATTATGCTGTGTTGCTGCCATGGATGCTGTTTATGTTTTCCGCTATTTATGTTTTTGTTATTGTTGAGACTGATGTTAGGCGTGTTGCCTTATTTGAGTGAGCATGGGGATTGTCCATGACACTTTATGTTAGTACTTTTAGTTTGGAGTTGTATAAACTGTTAGATGGTCCGGTCTACGTTGTTGTAGTTCCGTGACTAGAGCCACACTTTGATTATCTAGGTTATGAGGTATTTCAGTTAGCTGTTTTATTGCAATTACATACATGCGATGTTTTATTAATTGATTAATAAGCAAGTTGGAAATGATAATGATATCATAATTGAAAAGAAAAAGATATTCCGCATTTTTAATTAAGCGCTGCTTAATATGATAGTATGATAACATTACCGGATATATACGGGGTGTTACATTTCACTTGGCCCAAATGGAGAGATTCTGTCAAAGCTTTTGTGAGATCCTGTTTGGTATGCCAACAGGTTAAGTATCAAACACAAGCACCTACTGGTTTGTTACAGCCAATTCCCATTCCACATCAAATTTGGGAAGATTTTTCTATGGATTTCATAGTGGGTCTTCCACTCTCACATGGTTTTACTACTATTCTTGTAGTTGTGGATCGTTTATCCAAACAAGCTCATTTTGGTCCACTACCTCAACAATATTCAGCAGCTAAGGTGGCCTCTATTTTTTCAACCATGGTCTGTAAGCTTCATGGTCTTCCACGCTCAATCATCGCAGATAGGGATTCCATTTTTCTCAGCAGGTTTTGGGTGGAGCTATTTACCCATAGTGGAACACAATTTAAGAGAACTACAGCATATCATCCTCAATCCGATGGGCAATCCGAAGTTGTAAATCGAGTTTTAGAGCAATACTTGAGATGTTTTGATGCAGATTTTCCTAAAAGGTGGTCCAAAATTCTACATTGGGCTGAGTATTGTTATAATACGGCTTATCATGCATCAGCAGGCATGACACCCTTCAAGGCAGTCTTTGGTAGAGATCCACTTCCATTTTGGATTATGTTTCCAATTCTGCACTCGTGAGAGAGGTCGATACTGCTCTACTTGATAGGCAGGTTATTTTACAACAGTTGCAAGAAAATTTACTTACTGCTCAGCAATCTATGAAGGAGAGAGCAGATCACAAGCGCAGGGAAGTCCAGTTCAAAGTAGGTGACTTGCTTTGGGTTCATCTACAGCCTTACAGACAGTCATCAGTTGCCGAGAGAATGAGTAATAAACTATCCCGCAGATATTTTGGACCATTTGCCATTGTCCAAAGAATTGGTCAGGTTGCATACAGGTTGGAGCTGCCACCACATGCAAAGATCCACCACACTTTTCATGTTTCTCTCCTCAAACCATACATAGGAAACCATCCTGTTTCTCCTTTTCCCTTGCCTGAAGTCTTTACGAAAGGCATGCCTGTTCTGGAACCATTGGACATTGTGGACAGTAGAAGTAATACTTCAGGAGGTCAGCCACAAATAGAAATTAAAGTGACATGGAGTGGAATGCCATTAGCAGCAGCGACTTGGGAGGATTTACACGAGTTTCGCAGCCACTATCCACATTTTAACCTTGAGGACAAGGTTATTCTTAATGGGGTAGGTATTGATATGAGTGAAATAAATGAAATAGGAGCTGGACCAACAGATGAAGCAAAGAATGAGGCTAAAACAAGAATTGAGGCCCAACAGGGGGAAGAAGAGAATATTAATGCAACAGTGGATAGCATTGCTGAGAGGAGAACTAGAAGAGTAATTAGAAGGCCCAAAAGGTTTACATGTAATGAGATGTAGTTATATGAGAATATTATCAGTTAGTAGTTAGTGACATCCACATTGGGTGGGCAACATGACATGTATAAATAGGATCTCTTGTAACCATAAGGGGTTGTTGAATATACTCCTCAGTGAATAAAGAACGTTTCCTTTTCTCATCTCTTTCTCTCGAATCCTTTCTTGTCCTCCTCCCCTTTTCTGCTGATTTTTTTTTTTTTTTTTGTAATACCTTTTCTGCTGATTTTGTACCTTGGGTAGGTTTATCCTGTCATATACATTTATAATTTGATTAGTTTTAGTTTTATTTTATTTTCTTAAAATTCTCTAATCGTGTGAGGTAATTTATGGGAATAATTTAAAATTTCAATTGATTTTATTAGGTGAAATTTTTATACATATTTAAATAATAAAGAAATAGGTGAATAGAAATAAAGGGATGTATTTCTCGTATTGATATATTCGGAGCTAAAACACAACCAACTCTGTGGATTCTCGAAAATTGTGTTTTGGAAAATATGTTCTAGAAATTGATTTGATTTGTAAATTGACAAAATAAACATTTTACCTTTTTAATTCTTGATTAATTTTTAACTTAATAGAGTTAATTTTTTGAAACAGATATTTTAACTACCCTTAAACCTTGCACTGATAATTAACCTTTGATGGTTAGAATCTTGTTTAGAGTCTAGTTAATTCCACCTCGCTTGTTACAGGTAGGGCATTTTTCAAGAATCATGTGTGGAGCTTATTAATTTTGACCCCAACATAATGTAAAAAAAATTTAAAAAGTTAGCGGAATCTCCATAATCAAGCATATGATCAAGTTATTTCAATTTAACCAATAATTTAATTAGACTCTTAAGTATGTAATTGTATTAAAAATTTAATAAGAAGTGTTTTATCACCTTATAATTCTGCCCAATTCGATTAATCAATTCAAATTGGATTAATCGAATAATTGATGAATTTTTTTAAAAATATATATAAATAATATAAGAAAGGGTTATGTTTATAACTTTTTTTATTTATAACTCTTACAACCTCAACTATGTTCTTCCGGGGTATACTCTGCAGTAGTGTACTCCCGAGATAACATAGTTAAGGTTGTAAAAAAAAAAAGTTGTAAACCTAGTCTATCCAATAATATATATGGGGATGTGGTGATGGAAAATAGCTCCTAGAAGCCAACCTGATTTCATAGTCCCTTGTGGCGTTGCAAACCAGCTACATGTGTGTGAGACAAACAGAATTTGGTAACCAAAGGTTTCAAATATTGGGATTATAATACATGTATTTAACAGTGTCTTACCAAATCTGTCACACAAACCGTTAATAAATGGATATGTATGTCTTCTGTTATACGAGAATTCTTAAGGATAAAGTATAGAACTAACTATAATTAGAATGCACAGCTTTTACATTCTAGATACATAACTGTTCATTTGCACCTATTTTAAACCCTCAAAACCCCAACAGGGTACCTAAAATTGTCACTCTCAGGGTTTTCATTCATTCACCAAAAACAAAACACACACAATGGCTGGTTTGATGCATATGTCTGTGTATGTTGTCACTTTTGATGTTCCAACATTGGTCATTGTTTGTAGCGTTGTCACACTGATCTTCTTCATCTTCTATCAAATTTTCTATGGTTTATTCTATTGGTTCATGGAAATGAGGCCTAATGAATTGCATGATCTTGAAGAAGGAACTCATCTAGCTTCTTATGGTGCATCTGGGTCATCTCAACGTGTTACAATCTTTCATGCTCTTGTCCTTGGCAATTTGCAGGCTTGGACGATGGTGGCTGCATTGGAAGGAGATTTTGATGAGAATAGAGGGCAAAAGCTTAGAGCTTCTAAGAAATTGCCTCCATTGGTGAACTATGGAAAGCATGAGGCAATAAGAAGTTGTAATGAGTGTGCAATTTGCTTGGAAGATTTCGATGTTGATCAGTTCTGTCAAGTTTTTCCTGTGTGCAAACACATTTTTCATTCAGATTGCATTGACCACTGGTTGCAGAAGAAATTAACATGTCCAATATGTCGTAGTAGATGCATACAAGATTAGTTGTTGTAATTATGAAAAATTGTAAAGAATTGTATATAGGGATAAGTTTGAACAAATTAAGGTCTTGTATTAAATCGTTGATTAGTAGTATTATATCTCTGCAAAAAACAATGACTCCTCTATTCAAATCTCTTTATAACTAGATCAACTTCTTTCTTGGGGTAACACATGAAAAAAAAAAATGGGGGTGTGTTCACTAGCACTACTTAAGTGCGTATGAGTAAGGTATAGAGGGCAAAAAGCCAAAGTGGTGTAATGTCAATCATGGGGACCAAAATGTATACAATTAAAGGAAGGAGATTGTAATTAGTGGAGAATTGACGTTATTATGTGGTACAGTGGGAGTGGAAATTGGTAGCATATAAAATCTAAATCATTTGTATAAAGCTTCCAACTTGCGAGATATGGGTGAGGGATAATTGTACACAATCTTACTTTTACAAAGAGAAACTTTAATGCAAGCTCGTCATCTGAGTTCATAATTATATATTTACATGTACTTTAATAAGTCATGTAACTTTTACGGATGGGGAAGGATATGTTTACAATTTTTTTTTGAAATTTTTTACAAATTACTCTATGTTCTTCCGGGATAGCATAGTGTAACCAGTGTTCTTCCGGGAAAACATAATGTAGTTTGTAAGAGTTTGTAAACAAAAAAGTTTGTAAATATAACCTGCCCCTTTACGGATAAGGAATATATATATAGGGCTTAACATTTCTGCAGCAGCCGTAGATAGTGTTATCTTCAGCTGACACAGAAAAGTGGGCCCCACGACTTTTAAAAAAAAAAAAAAAAAAACTAAGGATCCGTTGCCGTATCCTAGGATTCAGACGTGTATCCTTGCTTGCTGTAGGTACAGCAGCTGCAGAAATCATTTTGCCATATATATATCCTTTGATACTGTGTCAAATTTTGAAATTTGACACCAAATTTTAACTATTGATTTCCGCCAATCAACGATTATCATTTATTGAGAATCAAACTTATTAATTAATTATTAAAATTCTCAATAAATGATAACCGTTGATTGACGAAAATCAACGGTTAGAATTTGGTATCAAACTCCGGTGTCAAACTTTTTACGAAGTTTACTATACAATTTAGAGGAAGGATATTCTTACTACCAAAATCTTCTACTACCAATTCACTACCCATCTAATCACCATTGGATCAACATTTTCTCTTTTTTCAAAAGCTTTTTAACATTCTCTCTCTTTGATTCAATGGTGATTAGATAGGTAGTAAGTTAGTAGTAGAAAATTTTGGTAGTAAGAATATCTTTCTCTACAATATATATAAGAATGTACAAAAATACATGGGGTTCAAATATTTACCCACACTCATCACATGTATCCATTCATATAATATAACTTTCAAAAAAATTCTTTTCGTGCAACTCAGCATTTTCTTTACATATTTCTTTTCTGTCACTGAAATTTAAATATAAGCAATTTAACTGAAAAGAAAAGAAAAAAAAAACGAACGTTTTCTTCTCCATCTTTTACTTATTATGTTAAGCTTCGTCAAATTAGTCACTTTATTTATTTTTCATTTTGCAACTATAATATCATCACAATATATGACACTGTTTTCTACGTGTGACAGAAGATTCTATGTGTGAAGTTGCCAATTTAAGGGTATGTCTATTAAAATCCTACCAGTATTGCCTGACAATATTTTTCTAAAGATAAAGGTTTTCTGCAAATCTGGCATCTATATTTGGAATTTACAACAAATGCAACTATGTTATGATCAAATTATTCTCTCTCTTTCTTCAACAAAATTCAAGAGACTTTGACATTTAACCTATAAGCTACAACTTTCATGAACAGAAAAGAAACCAAATAAACAAGAAGTCATTTAAGATAACCAAAAGTTGTTTCTCAAATCATTGAACATGAGTGCAGTTTTTCAAGCCTATGATCCACCAGCTACCCCAGACCCTTCTCTTGCATTTTCATATTTAATTGCCAATACTTCCAATGTGGTTTTAATCTTGTTCTTGTGTCTTTGTATGGCCACCTTGCTTTCAACACTAATTGTTCTTCTTTTCTTATATATCTGTGAATATACATCTTATGCTTTCCTTGAAACACTTGAGGATGATATTGAAGGAGGAGGAATAAGAACTTCAGGGGTTAGATCTTTTTTTATGTACCTAGCTGCTTTGAATCAAATAAGTGGTAGTAGGGAACGATTACAAACATATATACAAGCTTCCGAGATAAGATCAATTCATAAACGACCCTCACTCAAATTGCCACAGCTTGTAATTTATGAACAAGATGAGTTTAAATCATTTTGTAGTGATTGTGTCATATGTTTGGAGAAATTCATAAATGGGGAGCCATGTCAAGTTCTACCCCCGTGCAATCACATATTTCATTCATACTGCATTAAGCATTGGTTGAAGGACAATTTCACTTGTCCAGTTTGTCGAAATTGTTTATTAGAAACATGATAAGTTTTGCAATGTGGATGAATTCAGTTTTGTGGAAAATGTGATCATATAAAGAAAGCAATGAAATATGATCCTCCAAATCTTTATGCCTATTCTGGACTTCCCTCGCTTGAAATCAGATCAGAAACAAGAAGTAGAACTTGGAAGAATCCACTGATGCTTTGCATTGACAACATATTGTGGAACATAAATTTCTGAAGCAGATATCAAGACAAGTTTGGAAAAACATTTGCAGAGGCAGCATCCCAATTGAAACTGACAAGATTAGTTAGTTAAAATCATATGATATTTCTTTCGTTTGTTGGGAGAATTTCATCAAAGTAAAATTTTCCTTTGTAAGAAGTATTCACTTTATTTTATTCGCAACCAATTTCCTAGTGCCATGTGAAGGACTTAGTTAACTTGCACAGTTTGGCTAAATTGAGTTATAGAGTGGATTTTCTTGTTCATAATGTCTTTGCACGGAGTTGTAATAAGATGTTCCATGCTGCTGAAAAACGATTTTTTCACATTCAGCAAGGTGAATTATGCAACATAAGGCCACTTTCTTTCTTTCTTTTGCGTGTGAAAACTTAAAACCAGCCAAAGTTTCTTTCAATGTACTGTTCTACAAGGGGTTTTAGAAATGTAATTGGTTTTATAATTTCATTCTCTTTTTAATAGCCGAAATTTTTTATCTAATAACTCGTTAAATATAATCCAGATATTCATCGCTATCCAATTCTATACTCCACAAAAGCACTCAAACTGACCCTATTTAGCTTCAAAATTTCATATTAGACAAGGCTTGACATAATCAGCCAAATGAGCACTCTTTAACAGTTACAAATTTATTTCGTAGAGACTATCTTACAACAACACAACTTTGTAGTTAAAATACAAGAAGAGAACTGCTTAGAAATAGCCCAATTTTGATTCAACATGACCAGGCCATTTGCACTTGTGCATCAAAAAGGCCATTTTACATGTTGGTTGCCTCTACTTCTGCTTCTGATTCAGTCACCACAGGCACCTTTTGATATACCTTTGACCCTTTCAACCTATGAGGCAGAATAAAATCAGCACCAAAACGTTGCTGCAAGTAGATAATGATAGCAAATAAGATACCTCCCAAAGGAATGACAATATCCCAAGCAGTGGAGTAAAAATCTGCACTTGGATCAGCATAAAAGTATGAGCCATCGCCATTATCTAGGAAAGCATAATTATGAGTCCGGTAAAGATCATAGGCATGTGGCAACAGTCTCACAAAAGTAGTTCCAAAGTAAAATGAACAAGAAAGAACATTCTCCTTCATATTTGAAAACAGGTTTAGCATGATTTGTGGCAAGAGAAAGCCGTCCAATACCAAACCACCATAAGATTTGAAGTTCTCCCAAGATGAATGATGCTGCTGGTACACTGAGCTAATCGTAGGATCCTTATTTCCATCCTTCTTCAAGAGCAATGCAATCAATAACCCAGCTGCATACAAGGATAAAGTCACATAGACAACCTTCCTCTCAGCAACCCAGAGGCCTTTTTTGCTTTCATCAGTCTTTCTTGATGACCAAGTTAGTTGCAGGAGACGGAATTGCAACAAGAAAGCTACCATGGTGATAAGCCTCACACTTATTTCATTAACTTCAAGCCATCCCACATTTCCAAATACAAAGTTTTTGTTGTTGGGATTTTGAGTGAGAAGAGCTTCAAAGTTCAGAACAAGGGGTATCATGAAACCCACTGTAAGAATTGACATCATAGTAAGTGAGATGAAGGGGAGCACATTAGGATGTCTCTTCACATGGTAGAGTTGCAATCCCACAAAAGCACATGCTAGAGTGTTAGATATAAGAACCATGATGACTTCCATATCCATTCTCCAAACAGTTTTTGCTTCTACTTCTGTGTAAAATGCAGTTGAAGATAGATCTAAACGTTTGAAGTAAAGTGGATCTGATATTTTGCGTGTGCTTTCAATACTTCCCTCAATTATGCTTGCATTGTCTAATGATGGGAACTGAAACTTCACTATAATCTCACAGTCCACAGAATGAGCTATTGGTGTCCCTGTGTTTGAGGAAAGATCACGGCAACCAACCATACACAAGGTTCCTGTTCCAGCATCATAAATTCCTTCAGCAGAAATCTTCACTCTCTCATAAGACAGATTAAACAGTGAATGCTGCCTGTCACCTATAGTTGAATTCAAGAGTACGGTAATCTTGTAGCTAATGTTAAACAAGCTATCATTATTGTTGTGGACTAGAATAGTATTTTCTGCACGCAGGCCTGATTCATAGACTTGATCACCAACAGATAAGGGATCTGAATAACCGAATGCTGGTCTCTTGTTGTTCAACTCTGAAACTACCATATCAAACCTCATGTTATTAGAATAAGCATCTGGATATCTTCTCTTCTGGTTCTTGACAGGCTTGTGTGTTGCACATGATTTCTTAACTCTTTCTAGCTGGCTATACTCATACTTTAAGCCTTGAATTCCCACCCCGTGATCCTCATCGTTTCTAAACGTGATCATCTTGAAGTACCCTGTATCATTCGTGGTCTTGTTGCTCCAAATTTGTCCCTCTATCTTACTAGTGTCTTTGATTGACCAAATTGAGGGGAATCTCAATCTTAATCTCACTGAGCATTCACCCACTTGAGTGCCAGCCAAGGATGATGCCATACCCATGATATGGCAAGCAACTACACAAAATCTATTCTTCTTCTCATCCCACCACCCTTCCCCTATTAACATGGTTTTAGGATTGAAACCTTGGTTCATCTCAGAGTAACTAGTATTTGAAAATCTCATCAGAACCCGCAACCTATGCTTCTTAGTATGAGAACATTCGATGCCTTTCAAAGACACTAGAGATGGCAGTTGATCAGAGCTCCCACTAATAGGTGTGCAATTCTTAGAAGAATTGCACTCATGAGAGTACTCTAACTGGAGTCTTCTAATCCCCATAGAAAGGGGATATTTGCAAAAACTTAAAGAATTGAAATCTAAAGGTAAACCCCCTTCAGCATCAACCCCAGAAGAGAACTCATTTTCAGCAATGGAATCCAAGGTATAAGTGTAATTTGCTTTTGGAAACATCAACACAGAAATGGGTTCAAAGTAATTCCCATCCTTTTCAGAACTCAAGCTCTCCAAGGTTCCACTAATCAAGCTACTAATATTACTTACATTGAAGACATTGTTAAGCTTAAAGACAACATCCAGATTAAGAGAGTCACCTGTTTTGGAATAACCACTGCCTTTACCAACCATGCAAACCTTCCCTGAAGACTCAGACCAGAACCCATCAAGCTTGAAGGTTAAGTGGCGTCTACGGTTATAAGAACTGTCACCATAGGTGAAGTTCCCCACATGGTGGTAAAATCTGTTGGTGGTGCTTGTAAATGATAGAGTGCCTTCAATTTTGAACAAGTCAGAAACCTGAGTTGCCTGCGTGTACCTTGTTTGGAGGTAAAAGGAGTGTTGGTTCAAGGAAGTTCCAACATCAATGATCCTATGACCTCCTGTGAAGTAACCTTTGTGATGATAACCAAGAGGAAAAGAGTTGAAGAGGGTGAGTTCTTTGGGAGTTGACTCTGGGATGATAGAAGCACAATGGTCTTTGTAAGAAGGTTGTGAAGCAAAGGAGGAAAAAGGGTTGAAGGAGAAGAAAGTTAAAAGGAAAAAGAGCATGGAGAGAAGAGAATCCATGAGCAAGAGCATGAACAACTAGTTGATGAAGGGTAGACAAAGAAACGAAGTATTGAATTCAGTGTTATATAATCTCTCTGATGTGCTCTTCTCAGTGGCAAATGAAACGTTGGCTTCTCCGTGTATGCTAAAGTCAACTTTTTTTTTTTTCTTTTGACAAAATTTTTTGGAACTTTATCCAAACTCCCACTAAGAGTTGGATTCTTTTATTTTAAAAAGTAATTATGTGGTGATATTATTTAATCATAATCACTTATTGATAATAAGATAATATAGAGAATAACGCATGATTTATAAACAAATAATTATGATTAAATAATATGACTACTTTTTCACATGAGAGGATCCAAATTCATCCGTAGCTTTTGACCTTTTGGCGATCTCAAACTTTGCATGAAAGGCACTATTAAACTTAATTTTTCTTTCTAATTGATTCACCTTCTCGATAAATTTAATTTTTAGCTCCCAAAGGTTGTATTGCAAATATATATAGAGGGAGGATTTTTTTCGTTCGGTGTAAGATTACAAAATTTTATTTTCCATCTTAGTCATTAATTTTTGTATTTTTTACCGTGATAGTTTACTTAAAATTAATAATTAATTGATGAATATAAATCAATGAACCATAACATACATATTATATATATATATATATATATATATATATATATGGGGTAAATATTTCTGCAGTCACTTTAGATAAAGTTATCTACAGCTACCCTTTTTAACTAAATATGACCGGTCATACATAAAAATTGTATTTTCTCTCTCCGCCACGTCAGTGGACAGTGTCTGAGGAGGGAGAAAAAAAAAAACAGCTTTATTGTTATAACAAAGTATTACCAGTCATACCAAACTCCTTTGGCACAGATGGTAAGGAGCCTGAGTCCCTTAACCAGAGGTCTCGAGTTCGAGCTCGAACTCTGGGAATGAAAAAAAAAGATTTGGGAGAGCCGCCCCCGAAAGAGTCCCACAGTGCTCGATTGAGAATTAGTCCTTGGTTACGGCATATATATATATATATATATATATATATATATATATATATATATATATATATATATATATATAAATGATTGAAGTGCAATTACTTGCTATTCTTATTTGGTTAATTGATTTTTTTGCCACTGTTTTAATTTTTTTTGTTCACTTTACCTTTTTTCCTAAATTATATACAAATATAACATGATCTCAAATTATATGTTAATTTGTGTTTGATCAAAATTTAACTGATAGTTGCTCGAATAAATGATGTACCAAAGATTAGGGTTTGGTTAAATATGAACAAATTAATATATAATTTGAGAAGTATAATACCCCAAACTTAAGCATTTAATTGATTAATTTTAATTAAATAATTAAGCATATTTTAGTGAGTAAAATTAAGTATAAGGCTTAATTAAATGAATCTGAGTCACTTGGAGTTAAAAAGTGTACTCAGTGAAAATTAAGGGGTATAAATGGGTGTAGGCAAAAGTACCCAAAATATAAAAATAAAATTAGAAACATTCCTAGAAAAATATTCCAGACTTTTGGGTAAAGTTTGGTAATTAATGGAGTTGAATAGATAGACGAACCAATACCCGCTTAAAGTCACTTAACCTATGTTAAGTGACTAAGACACCAAAAGAGCCCCATTTCCCACCCCATTTCCGTCGAGCCAGAGAGAGAAGCAAACAGAAGAAGAAGAAGAAGAAAGGAAGAGAGAAGAAGAGAGAGAGAAGGGAGGAAACCTTAACCGTTTTGGGTGATTCAAAAGCCTAAATCACTTTAAATCTTCCCCTCTTTCATAATCCAAGCTTGGTTCTTAGTGGGGAGTGTTGTGTTGTGAGATTTTTCCTCTCAAAGTTCCGCCCCTTTGTGAGAATTTGGGGTTTTGGGAGCTTCAACCTCCATTGGAGCTTGAGGAGCCATCAATCCTTGGTTGTGTGACCATTGGTGGTAAGATTTTAACCCTTGAACCTTGTTTTCTTGGAAAATTTCATGGTTAGGGTTTAATGAATAGTGTTTTAGGGTTTTTATGAAATGTTGAGTAGATTGGCTATGTTCAAGGAAGAATGAGGCTTAGAGTATGTTGTGAAAAATGCTAGGAATGACATTTAATCGGTAGAAATGAGTTTATAGTGTTATTTTAGTATGCTTTGATGTTTGGAGAAATCTAGGCTTGGAACTATGGATTTCCTTGCATTGTTAGAATTGTTTGATTGTATTCCTTGTGTTGATAGGATTGAGGCAAGAGGACCAAGTGGAGTGACCAACCCTTGGGGTTGTGTGCAATTGAGGAAAGCTCAAAGAGCAAGGTAAACCTTTGGACCTTGTGGTTGATCCCATTGAGTGTTCCACCATACTCCGTTGAGGAGAAATGGTTTATGAGATGTGATATGTAATTATGATAGTGATTGTATGCTCATGCATTGATTCATGCATTGATACATGTTATGATTGATTGATGATTATTGGTTGATGTTTGATTGTTTAAGAGTAATTGAGGAATGATTATAGAAGTAGCAATAATGAATGAGGTAATGGTTGAGGATTGTGATTGAGGTTATGCGTGATAGTATTATGATGAGGATGATTGGTAGGAACTTCCCTTGGAAACAGCCCTATGTGGATCTCCATGTGGTTAGAGCCTAAGAGGAACAGCCCTATGTGGATCCCTCTTGGAGGTTCCTAGATTGAGGAAAGGACTTCCCTTGGAAACAGCCCTATGTGGATCTCCATGTGGTTAGAGCCTAAGAGGAACGGCCCTATGTGGATCCCTCTTGGAGGTTCCTAGATTGAGGAAAGGACTTCCCTTGGAAACAGCCCTATGTGGATCTCCATGTGGTTAGAGCCTAAGAGGAACAGCCCTATGTGGATCCCTCTTGGAGGTTCCTAGATTGAGGAAAGGACTTCCCTTGGAAACAGCCCTAGGTGGATCTCCATGTGGTAAGAGCCTAAGAGAAACAGCCCTTTGAGGATCTCTCTCTTGGAATAGATTGAGGAAAGGACTTCCCTTGGAAACAGCCCTATGTGGATCTCCATGTGGTAAGAGCCTAAGAGAAACAGCCCATAGTGGATCTCTCTTGGAAGTCCATGTGATGCTTGTGGATAAGAATGTGTTAAGCTATTATGATTATGTGTACACCAAAGTGAACCTTAGGGTGGAGTGATCTCCAAGGACCTCTGGTTTACTGTGATATATTCGTATATCTCACCCCGTGTTGTGGGGCATCATTTCAGGTACTGATAGAGGTGAGGTTGATCGAGGCAAGAAGCGTGAGTAGACTGTACCTGATAGCTGGACATGTTGAGTTGCATGCCATTTAGCATTGCTATATGTATATTTTGATGCCACGTGATGTATTTTGGAGGACTTAGTGCATGATCATTGTAGTAGTAATGGGTATCTGATACAGGGTTACTTGCTTTGATCATGTTCATTTTGTAGCTAAGTCTTTTGGCATGTATATGAGATTTGTAATTAAGACATGATGTAATATTGTAAGTAATGAAGATATTGGTGTATGATGCTTACTGTAAGTTAAATGCATGAATGTATTTTTATGTATTGGATATGTTGAGCTGGAAAGTCAATTAGGTACCTTGTGCTAAGTTGGGAAACGTTGAGAAAACAAAGATTATGCTGCCCAATTTCCGTTAAATCAATGATGAGAGGATGAGAGTTGAGCAATGATATAGGGATATCACAAGCTTGTTAAATAGGTTGTAAAATGTGTAGGATTGATTCCCCAAGAAAGATGCATGAAAAATATGAGTATAGGAAATTGCCCAGAAGAGGGGGCTTAAGCCTGCAAATGGAGGCTTAAGCCTGCTCAGGGGGCTTAAGCGCCCATGAGGGGGCTTAAGCGCCCTGATGCACCTGTGAAGACCAAAAGCTTTCTGCCGCATGGGGCTTTAGCGCCCAAATTGGGGGCTTAAGCGCCCAGGTAGCGCGCTTAAGCGCCCTGGAGCGAGCTTAAGCGCCCTTGGTGGCTAAAAAATGTAAATTCCCTCTGTCTGTGGGCGCTTAAGCGCCCTGGAGCGAGCTTAAGCGCCCTACCCGCGTAGTTTTTCAGCATACACCTGAGTTAGTAAAATTGTCATAACTTGAGCTACAGAGCTCCAAATGAGGAGCGGTTTGAAACCACGCGTAGCTAACGAAGAAATCTACAATATAGTAGAAGTTGGGAAATAAATAAGAAGTAAATTAATGGTTTAAAAATGGAATAAGAACATGATGTTAAGCTTGGTTTATCTGATTCCGCAAAGTAATATGGTTATGATCACGCAATTGGGCATTATAAATTCGGCATGTTTTAAAATGAAAAATTTAACCGGATATTAATTGAACCCATGTGATTGTAACTGCGCTTAATATCATAATGCGATGTTAACAAACCGGTTCTAGAACGGGGTGTTACAAGAAGAAGAAAAGATAATATACAATTTGAAAAAAGAGATAAAATGATAAAAAGAAATTAAAAATAAGGACAAAATCATCAATTAACTATTTTTATTCAGAATTTTATATAAAAACATAACTTCTATAAAAGTTCATATTTTTTGTGAATTTAGAATTTAATGATATGGATGATCTTAGATGAGTCATGCATGTATTATAATTTAAATGAATGTTATTTAAATGAATGTTATTCCATCCAGCAACCTTTGTAGTCCCATAGTTTTGACTTTTTTGTCTGTTAAGAGGTACGAACTTATTAGTTCTTACTTGATGTGACACCCAAAGTTTGTCGTAAGATATTTTAAAATTACCGAAATTCTTTAATACCGTGTCTCGCTGAAGCACAAATCATTTATGTTAATTTGTTTGAGTTATGTGTTAAAATGATGGCTGAAAAGTTTACATCCATTATTTTATTTTTCTTACAATAAATTTGAACTTATGATTTTATGCAGATTATTCAAACATAAGTTTTTTAATGAAAATAATTTGTACAAGTAATCGCCCACAATATTATTTTTTTACACGTTACACCTTAATTGGAATTTTATTTAATCATATTAATGCATTCCGCCAAATTTTATTAGAGAACTTTTATTTTCACAAGTTCCTCAAAAACTAATTGATAAGTACTGTTGGCTGAACTGATAGAATTTAATAACATCTATAAGATGGTTTTTATGTAAATTGAGACTAGTAAATATTTTAACAACCTTAAAATAAAACAACATTTTCTCTCCTATACTAACCTTAGAAAAAAAAAAAAAAAGACATACGAAATTTCTATCTTGTTTATTTATTATTTACTAATTTGATCAATGCACAAGATTTTATAATTATTCTCTCTCTCTCTCTCAATGGAGTTGTGACTTGTGAGGACCTCGTGAAAATAGCCGTCTTTCTACTCAAAGACATTTTCTTGCATGTTCGTCCTTTTTAGTTGTTGTATTCAAACTCGTTATTATATAAGGGGACAAAGGTGTTGCCGGCCAAATTTCGACGAAATCGTCAACACCCACAACGACTTGGAACAAGTCGTCAATCATATATATTGTGCAAAATCTCTAGAGTCAAGACCAAAGAACACGTTAAGCAAGGAAAAATGAGAGTGGGCTAATGCTGACAAGTGACAAGGGCGCGTGCGTGAACGAGGTTTTTTATTTAATTTAAGGAAAAAATTACTCTTATACTAGATGTGATAAATTTTTCTCTTACATACTTTTCGATAACTGTGTTATTTTTTTTTCTTTTTTTTTTCAGGTGGTGGAGCTCACAATTTATCTCTATGACATAAAATAATTTATCTCCTTTAACATAAGATTAATAAAACCTTTAATTTAATTTGCAGTGGTGGCAACTCATGCTGCCTTGCCTCTTAAACTTTACTGGAAGTCCATGCTTCCTACCACGCCCATGCCAATTTGCGGTGGTGGCATTTAACTATACTAATATTAAGGTTAAATTGTTAAATATTTATTCGTTATTGGTCATAAAAATTAATAAATATTTCATTACCTATCACTATAAAATGTGTGAAACAAGGTCTAAAGAAACATTCTTTTGGAAGATGTTTTGACCAAATCCCTTCACGAAAAATGCCAACGCATAAATTTTGAAAAATTATGAGAAATTAAAAAAAAAAATTATTAAGACATCTGAGTTAAAAGTTATAATTTTTTGAAATTTTATGATAAATTATTGACTATTAGCCACCTATCACGTCTCGATCGTGTCTCATTTTGAACGTAATTAATTGCTATATAATTATAAATAGGTTAATAAATATTATATTTGAATAATAGTATTTAAATTTTTATGCCTCAAACAAACTCGTTAATAGGTAAGAGGACAAAGGTGTTGCCGGCCAAGTTTCGACGAAATCGCCATTATTAGGCATTCTGCACTAATGCAATGATGACGAGTAACAAATACACATATATACAGGGAATAATATTTTTCTGAGGACTTGAGATAAGTTTATATCCGGTCTTCCTAAAATTACGTCGTTTTATTTATTTATTTTCTTATATTAATTGATTCACCTTTGTATGATTATGATTTTATTTTTCTCTCTCTTCCTTTATCATTATTGATCCATCTTTGTACGGTTATGATTTAGTAGTCGAAGATAAAATTATCTCCGGTAGCTTGAGAAATGATAAGCCTTATATATATATGATAAAATTATTTCTATAGCCTTTTTACGTACAACAATGACAAATGTATAGTTATGATTTCTCACATTTAATGTTCATTTTTTGTATGGTTATGATTTCTCACATTTAATGTTTTCACGTATATATATGACAAGTATTTAACTACTGCACGTACAACAACCGCAGAAATGTAAACATATATATATATATATATATATATATATATATATATTTGAGTCTCTCTAATTTATCTAAGAGTTGCGACTCTCACAATCGAATTTTGGCAGGGCAAGTCAAGTCTAGAGTGTAATTGCATCGCTAATAGACCAACAACACTACTAGAAAAATCACAATCAGCAAGGGAAAAATTCCCTTGCAAAACAACAAAATTCCCTTGCAAAACCTGTCAGCGACGTAATTTGCGAGGGAACACGGTCCTTTGCTAAAACCCTCGTCGCAAATAGATTTGCAATGGAAATTTGTCATATGACAATTCCCTCGCAAATTGCTACGGAAAAGTTCCCTCGCAAAAAAGTAAATTTCCCTCGCTAACAATAGACCTATCTACAGTGTTTTTCCCTCGCAAATTTCCGTAGCAGAATTTGTAAGGGGTGTGTCCTGCTTGGCCCTATTTTCCTTATTTTGAGCAGATCTCTTTTGAAACTTAGGACAGTTTTTCCATTTTTCTTTCAATTGGATTTTTAATGATTCACTACACCATGCATTTTTGGGGACAATGACCATATTGCCACTTTTTGGACAAAATTTTACCTGAATGCCACGCCTGAAATTTTTTTTGCCAAAATGCCACATCACAATCCCGCTGGTCTGACAAGCGGGATTGGACTGGACACGTGTCAGCGTCTGAATGGTTAACCATTCTCGCTGGGCTGCCCAGCTAGAATGACAGAATGCTGACACGTGGCAAAAGTACTACTTTTGCCACGTGTCAGCATTCTGTCATTCTAGCTGGGCAGCCCAGCGAGAATGGTTAACCATTCAGACGCTGACACGTGTCCAGTCCAATCCCGCTTGTCAGACCAGCGGGATTGTGACGTGGCATTTTGGCAAAAAAATTTCCAGACGTGGCAATAAGGTAAATTTTCATTAAAGGAGTGGCACAATGGTCAATGTCCCTGCATTTTTGCCCTTGTCATGTCTTACTTTATCCATTTTATCTGCGAACATTGTGGTGGCTTTGTGATGCCAAGCTCTTGCCAGGTTATGGCGATCCTCAGGCAACCACCTAAAATGATCCTGTAAATTGCCAGTTTTTTTCGATTAGCGCACAAATTGGTGACAAATATGTAGTTAGTATACATTTTTGTAATAAAACATTAGCATTAACGAGATATACATAACTTACTAGGAATTCATTCATCCAACCTTCTCGAGTTTCTTTAGGAACGTCTCCCCAGGTGCTCCATACATGTTTAAAATTACGGAATATTTGATTATCAATGAATTTCATGATCTCATCATAAGGTTCAAACCTGACAATATTAAATCAATTTATTTGATTATAACGATTGAGCAATGCTAGAAGCCACATTAGTACATCATTAGTAACAATTACAACTTACTCTGTGGTGCCTAAAGGACGAACCCATATACGTTTAGTCTGTGGATCACACCTCCCCCACTCTGGCTGAAGTGCCGAAGCAGCATCTCCTACCTCGCTTGCAGGGGATGCAGTCTGCAAAAAGGGAAAAAATGTTAAGCATTAAAAAAGTTAGTAGAGAGATGCTTAAAAGAAACTATAATATATATCTAAATCACAAAATGATGGTTTACTTAACCTGCTGTGTCGGCCCCATCGGGTCAGTGGGAGTGTGAGGAAGTCCTGCACTTCCCATAACAGAGTCAGTGCTAGATGGTGATGATCCTATCCGAAGTGGAGGGAGGGATGAGGAAGCTGTACGACCTCTACCAGAGGGGGTAGATGATGTCGTCCTACCTCCTCTGCCACCACGACCTGTAACTCGACCTCTACCGACATTACCATCACTACCAGTACGCCCATGCGTATGAACCATATGTGAAAACTTATAAACATAATGCAAAAATATATATAAACATAATAAGTATGCAATACGACGTCTACCACTATGGCCATCCATTTGTCACTAATGGATGCATACACCATACAGAGATCCTAAAAGATAAAAAATATAAAACATAATTGTATAATACATATAACATGTGGCCTGTGAATAAAAATTATTTACTTAGTACAATAGATAAGCTTAAAGAAAGAATAACTGAAATCAATCGGACGATTCCTGTTCTTCGAATTCTTCTTGCCCACCTTCCTCTGGACTCTCATAATAATTGAATTCAGGCTCACTATCTGAATAAATATCTTGTTCGTCATCGTTTGATTCCTCATTGTCCAATATAACATGAATTAACTCTAACTCTCTAGCGGAATCAAAAAGATTGCTTGGCACATAATCCTCTGCAACATTTACAGGCAGTTCATGTTCCCCATCATCCTGAAATGGATCAATCACATCATTCGAGTCTGACTCCTTCGACTTAGGGATAATATTCTGGGCTTTGGTTTTGATAACTCCTCTCCACCCTTGTTGGGAAGTAGGGTATAATGTGTAAATAACTTGTTCCGCTTGTTGAGCAAGTATAGATGGGTCGTAGCCAAGTGCATAACTCCTTGACCAATTGACCTCAACATTTCCATACCGGTCAACTTTTGTCCCACGTGAGGTGTTATCAAACCAATCACATTTAAAGAGAGTCACCGATTTCCCCAACTTGTAATCCAAAAGAATGATATCAACTAACTTCCCGTAGTAATCGCTCTCAGCACCGTCGACTTGCCCACCTCGACAACATACACTATAATTACAACATAACATATTTTGATTCGCTTCTACAGTTGCAAATCTATATCCGTTGACTATATATATTTTCTGAATTGGGTGACAAATCTTGCAGCTCCACTTGATAAAATATATGCAACATCATGGATAGCCGATTGGTTTTGTATGAAGTACTCCTCAAACCATTGAGGAAACTCAGACGTAACGTGTTGATCAACTTCAGAATCTGACCATAAAGGATTATTCGAACGTGTCCATTTGGAAAAGTTTCTGTAAGGAAAAAAACATTATAAAACTCATGAGGATAACTACCCATAAACCAAATATAGTCGCATAATGGAAACATCATCTCTAAGTTCAAAAATGAAATCTTACTCTATGTACGGAGCGGCCTCTGGTGAGTTATTTTGAATGTACCACTTTGCAACGTTCTTATCCCGTCCCTCTAGAATTGATGCCCTTTGCCTTCCCACGAATCGACCTGGATAATTAAATAGTGATATCTGACCTCTCGTATCACCGCCATCATCATTTCGAGGGACTTCTCTCCAAGTTGATATAAATTCAGGAGGATAATAGTACGATGCAAATTTACCAGTCTCTTCAACGAGATACGCTTCGGCGATAGATCCTTCAACATGCCTCAAGTTACTGACCTTCATCTTCAGTGTGCGTACAAACCTATGAATAGATATCAGGGTTCTTGTAATTTGTAGCATCGTGTGACGCAATTAAATGTTCGGATAAAAAACTAACCTCTCAAATGGATACATCCATCTATATTATTGTGGACCTCCAACCCTTGATTCATAGGCCAAGTGAACAGGAAAATGTTCCATTGACTCAAAAAATGTAGGAGGAAACACCATCTCTAATTTGCATAGTAGTGTTGGCACGCTCGACTCCAGATGTCGTAACCTTTCAGCATTAAGTTGAGAAGCACAAATTTCTCTAAAGAACATTGAAAGTTCGGTCAATACACTCCACACTTTCTTCGGTAATGCTTTGAAAGCCCACGACAACAATCTCCGAAATAAAACATGACAATCATGACTCTTCATACCGAATAACTTTGCCCCGTTCATGTCAACACACCCCGACAACTTGGATGCATAACCATCTGGGAATTTAAGATCCTTAACCCAGCGCAACATTTCTAAATTCTGGACTTTATTCAGTGTGTACAGCGCTTGAGGTTTCAAAGTCCTCCCGGTTGGAGTTTCAACCAAATTTAAACCAGGTCTTCTGCAAATCTCCTTTACGTCCAGTCTTGCATTTACAGTGTCCTTCGTCTTTCCCTTTGTGTCCATCACAATATATAAAATATTGCAAAACACATTCCTCTCTATATGCATAACATCAAGGTTGTGCCTTAACAATTGATCTTTCCAATATGGTAGATCCCAAAAGATGCTATGTTTGTTCCAATGGTGATCATCGCCATATCCCTCAGAGTCGTCGGAAGCAGGCCTCTCTTCAACACTTGGAATGTACTTCACCCTCTCCCATATTTCTTGGCCACTTAACCGACGAGGTGCGTCTGCCCTTTCGACAACACCTATCCTGAAGTCTTTTTTATTTCCCCTATACGGGTGATCGAGTGGCAGGAATCGTCGATGAGTGTCAAACCAACACACCTTGTGACTGTGTTGCAAGCTAAAACCCTTATTTTGTTCCAAACATACCGGACATGCAAGCTTCCTCAATGGCTGCCATCCGCTCAACATCCCATATACTGCAAAATCATTTATTGTCCACATCAAGGCAGCCCGCATGGTGAAATTCTGCCTCAACGATACATCATATGTCAGAACCCCTGCACTCCATAACATGTTCAGCTATGTCATCTCAATACAAGCATGCAATTATTTTTCATTCAAAATTTGTTACTTGAAAGACCTGAAGTAAAAAATCTCAGCAAACGGTCGATGCAAATGTGCACAATAGAATATATGGCAAAATGTCTCCAACTGCACCAAATAAGCCAACCATTTGTTATTAAAAGATAATATAGTATGTATATGAATAAATATAATAATGATAATAGTTCAGCTGTCAAAAAGAAATTCGTATATTGAAATAATAAACTAAAAATATTTTAATCTTTATAAATTATAATTGATTTGATATGGTTAAGTTTAATTTGATTTAGAAATTAAATTTTATGTTTCAGATTCATTGTAAGAATATTCTATGTTTCAAATTTGATTTGATTTATAAATTTTATGTTTCAAATTTTATAAATTATAACACGTGACTTTATCTAAGAATATTTTTTTTTGAATATTTAAATCTAAGACTATTAATATATACTTAGTTATTAAGTGAAATGAGAAAGAATTAATAGAATGAAAAGTAGCTTAATTAAATATAATTATATTCTCGGGAATTATAGATACATAATAAATTTTATGTAAAATTAACTTCAAATAATATTTTAAAATATAAGGACTATATATATATATATATATATATATATATATATATTACGTACAAACTGCCTTCGTATGTCTACGGAATAAAAACACAAAGGTGTATAGTTGACCGTTCATTAAATTGATTACTTGTACAAATTAAATATACAAGATCTCGAATCAATAATTGCTCCATTAACATCCTTTAAATACAAGAATCACCCACAAATTCAATATGAAATTAAATAGTAATAAATGGAAGGAAGGATTCCAGATAAGAAATGATAAGGAGTGCTCTAACACTAATAATGATAATCGTGATTATGGTAGTGTGAGGAAATAAATATATATATATATATATATATATATATATATATATATATTATAATAATTGACAATAATAAGAAAAAGTATAATAATAAAAGCTTACAGAGAGTAACTTAGCCACACAGACACACCAAACAACTTTTTAAGAAAAGCTTACAGAAACCCAAAAAATAATGAATATATAGTTCCTTTTGGTAACGCACGCCCTCAATCCCTTCCTTTTTTTCTCTCTCTCACTCTCTGGCCTTTTTCGCGTGTTTGAAAGTACTAGATTTATCGTGATAAGGAGTGGATGGAGGTTCGTGGGTGCTTGCAAAAGAGTGTGGTATGAATGGCATATAAAATGCACATGACACTCATTGAAATCATATACTATCTCTGGTTCCTTTCTCTTACATCTTTTCCACAATGTTAGCGTCTGCATAGGACTAGAGCCATATATAATGCACATGACACTTTACTCTCTTATTTAAAGCGAGCCAAATTGCTATCATCGGCACTTAAGTACTGATTCCTTTGGTCTCCACTTTGTCAAGAACAAAGTATTCTTTGATGGAGGGAGATCAACAAGGCTCTAATCTCACGTTTCCACCTGGTTTCAGATTCCACCCTTCTGATGAGGAACTCATAGTTCATTACTTGCAGAACAAAATCAGTTCACGTCCACTTCCAGCATCCATTATAGCTGAAATAGATCTGTACAAGTATAATCCGTGGGAGTTACCTAGTTCGTTCTTTCCTATGCACTCCTTGTTTTCACCATGTCTTTTTTATCATTATTAGCTGAGAAAAATGAATCTATTTTGCTTTATCTTTTCTTTTTTTACTTTTTCTTCTGATTTTGCAGAGAAATCTTTATTTGGGGATTTTATATGCCAAAGTACTCTCAAAGCCATCATGACCTTAAACATACATCAGCCCCCTGTTCAAAGCCATCATGACCTTAAACAAACTTCCGAAAAGGAAGTAGGACATATACGATACTAGGCAAATAGTGAAAAGGAACATGTAGCATTCCTTAGGTTTTCTAAGGGCCTATAAATATAAATATCTATTTTCTTCTGGAGATTGCAAGATAGTGAATCTGATAGAAGGTTAATCTCTAAAAAACCCTAAAACTAATCAGGAGTACACATGCATTAACCAACCATTCTCTATCTAACATTACAAATAACATTACAAAAAGAAAGCAATTCACAATCCATCCTCAGTGAAAAAAAAAATTCAACAAGCAGAAACTACCCAGAAATTCTTATCGTGGACCTAGGATTTTTTTGTGGTGAGGAGAACGGGGCACTGGGCTGGGATTTGAGAGTTCATATAGTTTTAGATGTTGGAAAGTGAATCCCCAATTGAAAAAAGAAAGAAGGAAAAAAAAAGAAAATCGTTGAATGTGATAAAATAAAATCGTTGAAAGAAATCTTTACCAGTTGCGGGATTGGAAAGGAAAAAAAGAAAATAGTCGAATGTGCTTCTTGGCTCGCAACCACACCGAAGACAGAGAAGCCCTAACTCGCTCGCCCAGCAGATATCACCTGAAAGTACCAACCTGAAAGTAAAGATATGGAACCTTTAACCTGAAAGTACAAGATATGGAACCTTTAACCTACAAGTAAAGATAGCAAATACTTCAACGATGAAATCTTTATAATGGTCGAACCTTCAACGGAGACGACGAAGAGGGCAACGGCGATCGAAGGTGCAGAGACACGGCTGGAGGGCAACTGGAAGAAGAAACGCAAGGGGGGAAAAGGGAAAGTGAAAATGCAAGGGGGAAAAGTGAAAATGCAAGGGGCAAAAGCATAGAGAGATATAGTTGAAATCAAAATGGTAGCTGGTATTATTAAAAGTCATATGTTGAGATAAAAAAAATCATATGATATGAAAAATTAGAATACTTAATAAATGACAAAAATAGTAAAAAAAATGAAATGTATTTAAATAAAAAAATATATAAAAAGACAAAAATAGAATAAAAAATAAGATCAAATATATTAAAAATCACAGCAGTGACAAAAAATATTAAAAATAAAAAAATATAATAATAGTCTAAATGAACAAATATATATTGAAGACAAAAAAATAAAAGAAAAAATTAAGATATAAAATAAGATAAAAAAGAAATAACAATTTTGAATTTTCAATATATTTGCTTTTATTTTTTTTTATTTTTTTTATCCTTAGTCTATTTATTCTTTTTATTTAGACATGTTTGGTCTTTTTTATGTCTAAATTTTATTCTTTTTAGTAATGTGAGCCATTACATACAAGTGGATCAATGATTAAGATTGAGTGAAAGAGTTAGACTAACTCTTACACTAGTGTAAGGAGATCCTGTCTATATATATATATATATATATATATATATATATATATATATATATGGTCATGACCATTTTATACCAGTGTAAGTTACACTCTCAATATTCACCATTGATCCCAATTATGTCTAAGGGCTATAATTTTTTTAGTAATGTGAGCCATTGGATACAAGTGGATCAATGATCAAGATTGAGAGAAAGACTTCTAATTCTTACACTAGTGCAAGGATATCCTGTCCATATATATATATGGGGCAGAATATTCTTACACCGGTTTAAGAGTTAGAAGTCTTACACTCAATCTTGACCATTGATCCACTTCTATCCAATGGCTCACATTATTAAAAAAGTATAGCCCTTAAATATAAGTGGAATCAACGGACAAGATTGAGAGTGTAACTTAGACTGGTATAAAATGGTCCTGACCCTATATATATATATATATATATATATATATATATATATGGGAAGAAGACTTCTAACTCTTAATCTGGTGCAAGAATATCATGTCCCATATATATATAGAGCAGGAATACTGACATCCTCTGATTGCAATTGCACAAGTCCCTATTGAGAGCTCCAATCGACAAACTGACCGTTAGATATGAAGTATAATGAGTGTTACTCTTGCTTAAAGTATTTCAGCACGATCCAACGGTGAACTTAAGAAGAAAAAAAACATTTTCTCAAGATTGTTGCTTGCAGTAGAATCGCACACACATAGTAGTGTTGGTTTCGAATTGCTGGTGATGCTACTAACATAATCTCAGCTGGACCGACCGGTGGATGAAAGATATATCGTAGAATGATCAAAGATTACTCCTTCTTCAATTCTTCTGTGAAGTTTCTGAAATGGCTATCTCTCTATTTTCTCTTATAGTGACTGATTTTCATACTCCCTTGTCTTCAAAATGCTATTCATGCACGTTCAAAAGGCTGCTGAACATCTTGAATTGAGAACCCTAGCTTTCTTTATTGGGCTGGACTTGACTTTTAATTAAGTGGTTAAAGCCCAACTACGAAGACCAATGCCCTTTTCTCTGCTTCTCACTATTGAACAATTTTTACACACACCTTAAATATCAACAGAGTCTTATCTTTCCTATGACTAGCTGACATAGGCACCACTGTCACTACATGCACTCAATGTCTGCCATAAAGGATGCGGCGACATATTTAATGATTTTTTCTCATACGCATGATGCGGCGACCAATTTATGCCTTTGTCCCTTTTAAATTTGATTTATATATTATTTTTTAATTTTGTGAGGGAATATATTCCCTCTTTCCCTCACAATTTGGGAGGGAATATATTCCCTCGCAATTTGCGAGGGAATTTGAGAGAGAATATATTTCCTCGCAATTTGCGAGGGAATTTGTGAGGGAAATTGTGAAATTTTAGTTGCAATTTTCAGATCCTAAATTTTGCGAGGGAACTTCCGTCGCAAATTTTTTCCCTTGCTGTTTCCGTCACAGACTTATGATTCTTGCGAGGGATTCAATTTCCCTTGCAAATTGCGACGGAATTGCGACCGAACTGCAAGGGATTCTGCGACGGCAATGTAGTAACGGAAATCTTGCCTATTTTCCCTCGCAATTGTTTTTCCCTTGCAAATTCCGTCGCAGTTTGCAAGGGAATTTTTCCCTCACAAATTTCCCTTGCTATTCGCGACTTTTCTAGTAGTGCAAATCTTGAGTTGAAACAAATATCCTTAATATTATCGAAGTATGTATTTTTTTATTAAAAAAAATTAGAATTCAAAAAATATTATATGTAAAAATTAAATACAAATTAGGAAAAAATATTTCTCATGTCACAGGAGATAAAACTATCTCCTGCAACTGGAACATATCGTTGTCTTGCGCAATTTTCTGTCCTCTTTCACACCATGTGGTTGGTTTCTCGGATTGGCCACCGGAAGCTCACCAACACGTCCAAACAGACCTGGATATCCTTGTTTTTGGCTTCTCAGATATCTTTTTTTATTACAATTTTATAATACAACAAAAAAAATACAAAAATAAAAATAAAAATCAAGGATGAAACCTAATCATATAGGATTAGCCTCCTTGTTACAACCCAAGAAAATATAAAGAAATCTCTATCATGGATTAAAGCCAAAAACCAAATAAAACATCGATTTTTAATGAAAAGAATTATAAGAATACACATGCGAAACACATACCAATTAAATATCGAAATCTAGGTGCCATATTTCATGAAGCAAAACTAATTACATGAAAAATTATAAATCAAAAACTAGATACACATCCAAACCTGCAATTTGGCTTTGATACCAATTATAGGCACAATTGGATCTGCGGATGCATTTTGACCGTTGCGGTTTGGGATACAACAAATCATCATTGTTTTTCTTATTTACCTCTTGACACGCAAATCTACGTAGAACCACCTCATTGTTGGATATTTAATATACCCCAATTATTTCATTGATTTAAAATATATTTTAATAATTACAATCAATTTAATGTTAATTTAATTGATAATAATTTACTGTCTTGAAATTATTAATGAGCTGATTGTTTGAGATATCAAAATAATATTTATTCTTAAATGAAATAGTATTCAAGAAAATTGAAGATTAAAAAAGATATGAAAGATATCATGAATAGAGAGAAAAGCACAGAATCAAACAAAGTTAAGGATAGATTTTATCTTTTTAGATTTCATGTAAGAGAAATAAAATATTCTTTGCCAAATTTTTTATTAAGATTGCATTGCATAATAGGATAAGATATTTAATGCTTCACATAGTTTTATTTGAAAAAGAAATGAGAAATCTTATTTTTGAAAATTGCATTTAAAATTTCATATAAGGATGAAAGATTTTTGGTTAGTTTTTGGAAAAAAATTTAAAAAATAATTTTGAAAAAGTTGGTGGGAAAAGTTCGCGTTCCAAACACCAGGGTTCATCGAAAGAGGATATTTTCATGTTACCAAGAAGGATGATAAGGGTGAGACAATACCCAAGCCAAGGAAGAGTTCATTGATGAAGATTGAAAGAAGCTGAAATTCAATACCCAAGCCAAAAGAATTCTTCATTATGAACTTGGAACTCAAGAATACAATAGAGTGATGAGTTGTAAGATTGCAAAACAGATGTGGGATCTTCTTGAGGTAACTCATGAAGGAACCAATGAGGTAAAATAATCCAAGATTGGTCTTTTGATGCATAAGTATGAATTATTTACAATGAAACCAAAAGAATTAATTCGAGATATGAGTACCTGATTCACTAATATTGCAAATGAGTTGAATGCTTTAGGCAAGAACATTTAAATTAAAGAACAAGTGAGGAAGATCTTAAGAACTCTTGCAAGAGAAGATTGGATGTTAAAGATCACTCCATTGCAAGAGACTAAGGACTTCAGAATCTTCAACCTTGAGCAATTGGTTGGTTAATTAATGAATTATGAGATGCAGCTGGAGACTCATAGAAATGATGAGTCAAGGGTTAAAGATATAGTAACAATTCAGATGATGAAGAAGATATGGCTATGTTTAAGTAAAAGTTCAGAAAACAAATAAAGAAGCATAAGTTCAATGAAAGCACAAACAATAAAAAGGATAAATTCAAATTTCCTTTATCTTTTAAAACTGAATATGTTTGTTACAATTATGGCAAATCAGGACATAGAATCAAGGATTGTCCGGAAGAAGAAAAAGAAGCCAAAAAGGAGAAGAAGGCTAATGAGCCAAAAAAGTATAACAAGAAAGAGTTCAAGAAAGCTATGATGGCTGCCTAGAGTGACATAGAGTCAGAGAAAGAAACATTAGAATGCAGTGAAGAAGAAGCAAACTTTTGTCTGATGGCTAGAAGTGATTCAAAAGGAGATGACTCCGAAATAAATTTTAATGAACTTAAGTCTTCCATGCATAAGTTCTCCAAATAGCATTTAATAAGAATATTAGAGCCTTTGATAAATGAGCATTTGAATATGAGGGCTAGTAATGATGACTTGTTAGAATATATTGGAGAATTGAAAAATGAGCTTAAGAAATTCTTTAGGGCTAATAAGGATTTGAAGAAATCTAATGAAAGCATAGTAGAAGAAAACTCTAAGCTTAAGAGCATTGCATTTGAGTTGGAAAATAAGAATGCCTCCTTGAGTGTTAAATTGAATGAATCTAAGAAAAAGGAGTGCGTTATAGTTTGTGATGCTGAAATGGAAGAAAAAATTGAGAGCTTGGGGGGTAAGATAGAAAAATTGTCCATTGAGAATAAAGACCTCCAAAGCAAGTTAGAAGATGCCTTTAAGACCACCAAGGTAGAAAAACCCAATGTTTTTGATTGGTTGAATAAAAATTGTAATACATCTAGGAATAAGCCAGGCTTTAATGGAATTAAGAAAACTCCTTGGAAATCAAAAAATTAAGCATATAGATGTGTATGAGAAAAGAGTATGCTTTCATTGTGGTAATGTAAGA